TGAGAAGGACAAGTAGAGGGTCATCTGCAGGCACAAATTAATACTTGAGCAAAGCAGGTGTTCGTATAACATCTTAGAGAACTTACTAACTTTATAGAAGCTAGTTTTCTCACCTTTGTCACTTACGTCAAGTATGGGGTTTTTGTTTGTTTGTTTTTTTAGGAGGAACAAATATTTCTGTTTGTTTAATAGCTTTCACCCATGCAGGAATCTGAAACAGCTTTTAAGAACTGAGAAACAAAGGTACGGGCAAGTAACTGTTTTATTCTACAGTTCACAAATGGCTGTTTTCCATAATGGACTGCAGAAAAGCAACCAAAACCAAAGAGTTGGGGCAAAGAACCCCTCAGAAACTAGCCAAAATTATGAGGAAAGGAGCAAGAGATTATATTTTGTTTATTTTACCCTCATGCATGTAAAAGTCTTGATTCCTGCAGTTATAGACACACACAAACAAATAACTACTACATTAAAGTAGTTCCATGGCAGTGACAGTAGATGTGTGTAAACATATGTGGCGTTGTGGTCTAAGTCTAAGCACTAGTACTACAGTGCTACTTTTTAAATCAACAAAGAATACACAAGATATTCGGTGACACACCAAATATCTTCCTGAACTTTTCTGTCATTCGAGGTACTGCTCAATCCTTCAGCTCCATACTTTAAGGAAGGTCATAAACAGACCAAATCACCTAACTGGTTTAAGCAGTGAAAATAACATTAAAAAAGTAATAGCTTATGGAAACATTTTTATTCACCAGGAACAACTTTGTAAAAAGAATTTCCCAAACTAAATTTTGAGCAGTGAACAGTCTGGAAACTATCTCTATAGTAATGCTTTAAAAATTACTCACAGCCTAATTAACATCTGCTTTAAGAGTTTAAGTTATTACAGGGTCATTTATCTACTCAAAGCATCTTCTACACAATTGAGCAAATTTTTAAGGTTTAACGTTTCTACCCATAAACTGCCAGTGAAAGACATTCACCTAAAAGAACATGATAGGTAATTCAAGTCTATGTTTCCCATCAACGTCTCACCTAATGACAGTTTTTCTAATCACAAAATAGGTAACAAAACATATGTAAGAAACTTTATTATTTTTTTTAGAAAGCTCAAAGCAGACAAAAAAATTTAGCATCAAATGAGAAAATAACCAAATAACCAAAAAAAAAAAAAAAAAGGCAAGCAAAAGAATAAATAAATAATAAATTAATAATACAAATGAGAAATTCTATAGATGGAAAAGAAAATATTCTCCAGAAGTTCCAATGACCATGTTCTTAAACGCATGCTATTATGAAATAAGCTTAGAAACATATCTTGGAAATGTCCTCTCTAAATTTTCCCCACCTGCAGTTAGTCTTTTCTGAAACATAGCTGGCTAGAAGGTGATCAACCAAACTGCAGCTATTCTTCTTCCACCAAATGCTGTCCTAATCTTTTAGGGGAATTATTCCTCTGAATTTCATTTTCCACTGTTAGATTGGCCAGGGTCTTACTAGAACAAATGGGATGGACGTTGGGGAACATATATCACAGGTTGCATTGTTCAGACAGGGAAGAAAGTTCAAGCACTCAAGATTCACTTTTCTCATCTCAGGCAAACTGCAGCTTGCAGCACACACATAGGTGTGTTTCTCTTGTGTCCCTATGACTGAGAAAGTATAGGCTTTACTAAGGGAAATTTGAAAGTTATGAAGAGTTCTGTGTTTAAATGAAGGTAGAAGGGAGACCTAGGAAGTCAACCCTTTCTAATCTCATTTTGTTTTTCCTTAATGTTTTGTATTATGTGAATCAATCTAAAGACTCTGGAAAGTCTTTTTGATCATCATTCTGACAGTTGTTTTACTTTTGGTTTGATGTTTGGAATTTTGTTGTTGTTATTGTTGTGCCCTACACAACAAGCATAAATTTCTAAATTAAGAAAGTATTTCTTTTAACTAGCTTGTGTTAATCTGTAATCTCTTTTAACAGCATTTGGCAAAAGCTGAGAATAGAAAACGTATCTAATTAAAATAGTAGGGAGAATCAGAAAAGACAACTTTTTTGTTGTTGTTAATGGCATTTTTACTAAAAGATGAGTTCCAAAGCATCCACCTGGAATCACTGCTGCAAAGTACCCATGAAAGATCAAAAAAGCCCTCCTAGTTCCTTGCTTCCCCAAGCACAGAAACAAAATCAAGGCAGTGTTTCAGTTAATGCAATAATGAGGTCAGAAGAACACAGAAAATCTGCTCCTTGTTATAAGAAACCTCAGAAAACCTTCTTTTCCTTTTGTCTGTGACCCCACCCCAACCATACACACAATTTATCAACTATGTTATTACGTTTCCTTGCTTTCCCTTTTCTCACTCTCCCATTACGAAGCTAACCCACTGAGGGCCCCAGCCAGACCCCGGGGACCCCAGCTGCGCACTTGCGGATCACGATGCACTCTTCCCTTTTTTGGACATTGGGTGAAGCTCTTTGCTGCTGCACAGCAAAAGGGGATGCTAATTCAGGCTGTGCATGCATTGGACCAAATTCTGATCTCAGACACCCACACAATTCCTGTTGTAAGTCACATGTGTGCACACTTCTGACAGCAGGATATGCCCACTTGCACTGTCTTAATGCATCAGCAAGAGTGGTGTGGCTGCCTTTTAACAGAATAAAAGTGTAAAGAAATTATTTTGTAAAACTTGGGGGCGTAGGCAGACTGATAATGTTCCTCTAACTGAATTCCAATGGGTAAAATAGGGAAAAAAAAAAAAAAAAAAAAAAGGAAGCAAACCAAAGATACTATAACAATTTTCTCACTTAAAAGGGATTTTAAGAGAGACTGTCAAGCATCCAGGGCAACTCTCTACCTCTAATACGGGTTGAGGGACAAATTTCAATTTGAAATTAGTTAGGGAGATATTTTATAATTTATTCAAATGGTCATATGGAAGAGCTTCAGCATCAGCTCAATTGTTATTATTTAAGCTTAAGGAACCAGACTGTAATTATCTATATTGTCATTGGCAATTATCTATGATTGGCATATGGAAAAAGCAGTACAGTGTTACAACTGAAAGTGCAGCTGGATGTCAACACTATTCAAAATGTTTAAAAGAAATAACTATTAAATCATTTTTCGGATGTGTGAAGGAATATACAAATGTGTTCTCACAAATACCTTTTACCAGATCTTAGGGATACGTGATAATGAAATATTCTAATAATCGTTCTTAAAAGACAGGAAGATAATGCAATCAGAAAGAGGTGAATTTAACCTCCACTAAATTGGTTTTGCTCTCATACCCACAGATCTCAGAGCAGGTTGGTTTACTTTGTTTTCCACATTCCTAATTTCACCTGGCTACTAGAAATCATCGTCTGTTCTTCCCAGTTTAAGTGGTTTCAGAATGTTAGAAAAGTAAATTAACATAACTGGGAAATAAGATATATTGTCCTCTGTTTCAAAAAATACTGCCAATAATAGAAATGCATATATACTTACATGAAGGTTTCTCAAAAATATAAAAATTAATTTAAAGAAAGGTTTGAGAGCACTTAAAAACTTAACCTGGTAAACTGATTAGCCTGTAAGAGATCACATCATGTAATTAAAAAACAGGAATCTTCTCTAACAACAACAGACGTTGGAAAAAAAAAAAAAAAGTACAAACGTAGAACGTAGCTGAGGTTTCTAAAAAAATAAATAAAAAAATACATGTAAAAAGGTACACTCATGGATAAAGAACTCCAGACAAAAAGAGACTGGATCTGTGTGATGAGTAAACAGGAAACTGGGGACAGAAAAGTTAGAATGGAAGGAGTTTGCTGCCATATGTGAGAGCAGTTACCCTAAATCACTTCTTTGTTCTGAGCTAAGATTAGACATTTCAATAATTTAACTCAGAGGAACAGGCTAAATTCTTAAAACCAATATTTTTTCCATTTTTAGTAGTCTTCTGGATATATACCTAAAGACAAAAATGATTCTTTTTTCTCCCAATAATTACAAAGTTAAAATCTTGCAATATTCATACTCTGCATCTAGCATTATAGTATGCAAAATCAAGTCTGAAATTTTGCTTTTCACATTTTAGGCATCTGTTGTTGTTATGCTTTCACTCCATTCATTATACACTACTGTAACGTAGAGAAGTTGTTCTATCTTGCCTGCAAAAATGTCTTTGAAGGACAAAGTGGTCCAAGTCACAGTCTACAATGCAAGTTAAACAAGACTTTTATTTTTTCTTCCCAAAAGTGTTGCAACTTCTATATTCTCTCAGTAGTAAATCATCTATTTTTAGTCTTGTAAATTATCAGGGCTATGTCCCCAGTGAGTTGAAAGTTTTGTGGAAGACTTTGCTGTAATTTTTTTTTTTACTTCACATTTCACTCGCATTTAGGAGTGTTTTCCTCACACTGTACTCATTTGAATACAGTGTAAATGATTATTGAAAAAACAAATTATGGAAAAGCAGCTGTAACTGAAAAAGTGAGTTCAGTTGTGACCCAGTATGTACCATTATACTCTAAAAAGTGAAGCTATGGAAAAAACATACTTTGCAAATAAATATATTTGCTCTGTAATAAAAAATACAACATAATTTCAATCATAAATTCCCAATTTAATCAGATTTTCTGCCCTATCTACTCATATTTTTCATGCTCTGGTAAGCTAGTACTCCAAGTTCAACTGCTGGGCCAAAGAACCGTATTCAGTAAAATGATAGGTCCACAAAGACAGATGAACACGTAACAGGATGCTCTGGCCCAAACAACAGAAGTTTTCAAATGAAAGTAAGGGAGTCCTCAAGGTGACTTTAGTTCGCTGTAACAGTAGGTCACCAAGTTATAGCCTACAGTGTACCAACCTGCTGTATTTTATCATTTATTCATACATATGGCTAAATACCAGAAATCAACGTCATGTATATTCCCAAGATAACTTTTTTTTTTTGCTTATACAATGATACATGGAGTAAGAAAATATTAATAATTCAGTTCACAGAGTAAAATCTTGCATAAAGAAAGTACTTTAATGGCATCTGATACATACATGTCACATTGAAGAGACACTTGTATATTAATTTATACTGATGCAAATACAAGTAAGCATACCGTACGTGTCAACGTGCTATCAGTAACATATTACCATTTGTTACATATATATGATGGACTCTTTAAACAGCATACTATTTTACTTTTGCTCTGCTAATACTGAGTACTCAAAGATCATTACAATATAAATAATAAAAATTTCATTCTGAAAAACAAGTCACAGGAAAGGTTATATATCAACCAACTTCAGTTGTAGTGAATGACAAGTTCCAGTAGTGTGGAAATAGTTTTAATTAGTATTTGACACATATTAAAGCCACCAACCAACAACACTCCCTAAAACATTCCCTTTTTTAATCAATTAAATTTTGTAACAAAGAATTTTTAGCAGTGAGTATTTATATCCTAAATTAGAAATACAAGGTTTCTGGCTGCTTTGTGTTTTGTTCCTGACCCAATGTTATTTTTCCTCCATTTCTGATCCAACCAGCTATTTAAATTCACCAGGATGTTTGCACATGTTTCCTAACTCACATTACATGTTAACTAGTACATTCTTTTTTACTATTATTATTATTTTTTGGCATTCAACACTTAATATTAAAAAGCAAATTCTATCCTACAAACGTCAAGTCATCAGTCCTCAGTAAAAGGCCTGTAGCCTTCTATAAAATGACAAATAATCTTCACAGATGATACAGAATGTCATTCCATGAGAGAGATTACAATATGACAAAACTGAGAAAGAACTTCTGTATTGATAATGAAGGGTTTCAAGAACACAGTGGGCAGAAGTCCTAACATACTTGAAAAATATTTAACTGAACAATAATGGAGCAATGCCAAACACTAAAAGTTACCAAAGATAATTTTAATTGTTGTAGATATAATAGTGTTCAATGACAGCTGTTTTGGAACAAAAAGGTTATTTCCTGCAAATTATTATAATATTTTTCTCCCAAAATAGCCCCTGATTCACTGCTAAAGTTACCTGGCATTCTCTAACGGTTAGCACAGACTAAAAACCAATTATTAATTTTATTTTTTAAAGATTCTTAAGATCTTAAATGAAAATAATGATTTATTAAAAAGCCTAATAGGAGTCAATTCAGAAAAGCTGCTGACAAACCAATGGAACAATTTGCATGAGTGAAACATCAATGACCTTAATACAATAGCTATTTCAAAGATCAATAAGAATTAAAGGTACTGCTTCTCTACCTAGCAAAATTTCATGAATGCTGGCAGCACATTTTTGGGTTGATTCGTGATTTAATCAGAGAGCAAGCAGATACCATTTATGTAGTAGAAACTAACTGTCATCTGAGGCCTTTGAGTTTACCATTTGTACACATTTACACAAAATAACGTTAGAAAAATATTATGCCCTAGTACTATAAATATTTATGTATTTCTTCACTATGCTACTGTCAGGAGTCTCACACTGATTGTGAATCCATGTGTAAAAGTTAGCAGTCAGAGTTGTGTGTGAGCTTATTTTGTTGGAGTATACCAAGGTGGTCACAACTTTCATGAAATAAGAAAAAAGCCCTTGCAATACATTTTGTGAGATGCAAGAAAAGTGTGATTACATTTTTTTGGTTTGCTACTCCTTCTGGTGATTCTTTCAGAAATAACATTAATAAAGTTGTATAATTTTAGGATGCTTAACACTATATTAATATATATTAACTAAAAGGACAAAATAACCCTGCTTTTTAGCCTTTGGTTTTGTTATTGGAAGATATGCAACCTATTACTGCAAAGACTAATGAAGATATTTAATTTAAGATAATTAACTCTCTATAATTGTCTGAACATCTAATTCTTTTTTAGACTTTATGATGTACATCTGCCCTATGTTTGTAAGTATGCAAGTATATAAACCTGATCTACCAGCCATTTGAAAAAGACAGATCATCTCAATTCTCCTCAATTTAAAATCCTCTAGCGTTTCTCTCAATAATGGAAATCAAAGTTGTGGTAACATCACTGTGAGATCTATCCCACAGTGACTGAAATGTTGAGAAACTAATCCTTAAGTCTGGACAGTATACTGGGAGATGCTCTTGATTCAATGACTTTCACTGGGATTTGGCAGTTGCAGTGTATACTGTTTTTCTACAGAATCCTCATTTAGTTGAGCGACAGTATTTCTGACATCTATCTGGAGCACCCTGGAGACTGGGGTAAAATATGTAAAAAGCAGGGATTTTAAAAATAGTATTTCAAATTAATTCCATCACAACAATGTATAAAAACTATAAAACAGGACAAAGGTCATAGGAAATGGAAGTGCCAAGCGATCTTCACACAATCCTCCAAAAGAAACAATAGGAGGGGGAGAGTTAATTCTTTTTTAACAATTATGAGGGAGTAAATATCACAAAAACTAACTTTCTCACACTCTTAAAGAGATTATTAAATTCTCTTCCTGAACAAATGTTCAGTTTGAACCTGGAAGCAATGTTCTCTAGATGCTTTAAGTTACATTTTGGACTTAGGAGTTTTCAGTTGTCTTTATTGGAATCAATGAACTGCTGTGTGAGAAGACGTAGCAAACTACATGAACATTAGAAATACGGGGTTTGATCTGCTGAAACAGTTATATACCAAGTCCATTAATGAGAACAAACAATTGTATAAATACTAATGACTTACTTTAGTAATAAAAGTATTATTCACATTTTATATATGAGCAAAATGAGCCACAGCTAAGTGACTTAGCCAGTGACCCACAGGAAGTCAGTGACACAACCAGGAATAGAACATAGACCTCTCAGCAGCTAGTCCCATGCTTTAACCACAAGACCAGCCACCCTCTTCCCATCTTATATTAGCACAACTGTAAATCTTGGTTGCATCAGCTACTAATTTAAGATGTCTAAACAAGTTCAACTGTAGAAATCTCAGTTTTGAAAGTTTAATGACTTAGATTCATAAATCTCTCTTAACTTAATCACACAACAAATTAGGATAAAATGGTGTTTTTAATAGAAACTTAAAATGACCACAAACTTTTTGTTGCTTTAAAATGATTCCTTCAGAAATAAATTTCTGATGTATTAGAAGATCTGATGGATAGCAGTATATGCTTGAGCTCTTTATTACTACATTCTTTTGTCTGAAATCTGTGTGTGATACAAAATTTAGATCCACCTGATCAGAATGGACTATAACATGAAGACAATATCCTATTACAGAAGAACCAGACAATCCCAGAGAAAACTTATTCTCTTCAAGACAGAAAGAAATCGGAGAAGTTGAGAGTTGGGGAAAGACCAAAGATAATGAATAAACCATTATAATTAGAGGTAGGCAGCCTGGTGTGATCTTGGCTTTACAGAATTTAAAGCAGGCATGATTTGGATTTTGATCTCTTTTTATCTGAGCTTCAAGGTTCAGGAAAAGGAGGATCATTTTTAGTTAAAAGGGTTCTTGTTTTGACCCGCTCAATAGTTATCTACAAAAAATCTGCATTATGCCTAGTCCTATCACTTTTGCTGGATCCAAGGCACAGCATGCTAAAATGCAGTATAACAATACTGTAGGGCGATCTCCAAAGAGAGTCTGGAATCATACCAAGGGAATAGTCTTCCACCATCACTTATTATTTCCGTATAAAACTCCACTGATTGCAGTTTAAACTCCTGATTTCCTTCAAGTAAAACTGCATATAGAAAGAATGTGAAAATTGAAGATAGGCATGTGGCAGAATATTATGAAATACTTATTGCAAACATATCTTCCCAGAAGACCAAAAACTGCCAGTAAAGAGAGAATAAGATATGCTAATGCAAAGTTCTTGTTATCAATAAATGAACAGCAGCTATGTAAATTGAAAAAATACATAACCCAAGATAAAGAAGACAGGGTAACTGTAAAAAATGCAGCAATACAATAGTTTCATAGCTTTCTTAAACCCCTTTACTTTAAAACAATGCAATTTACACAGCCAGAACTGTTCTGACTGCTAGATTTATAGTCACACTGCTGGAGTATGAGATTGCCCTCTAGATGTTACGCTTGGCTAGATAATTTTTCATTCTTTCCAGTATACCGAGATGGGACACACTGTGTGATTTGTGATTTTAAACTTCTGTAATGCACCTGGAGACCTAAAGCATAGACACAATGGAAACATCAAAATAATTAAGTAAATTTGAAACTAGTATATTTGCAGAGACAGGAAGGCGTATACATTTTTCACCTCCGTATCCTTAAAAGATTTCTACCCTTTTCAAGACCTACCTGGCATATCTTAGAATCAGTTGCACAAAAATTCCTTCATTAAGATGGGAAAGAAAAATAAAATTGTTTAAGACAGACTATTTGGGCCATACCCTTATCCATCCCAAGATTCCAAAAGTACTCTTTCTCGTTTCAATGGGACTATTTTTGCTGTATAATTCAAGTCAATCTGCTTCAACTTTTCTTAATAATTAAAATGAATAAATAGTATACACACACCACAGGAATAAAATCTTTTTTTCAGATGCATCAAACTTCAAAAGATTTACCATTTCTTCCATGTGAAAAGAACTAATTAATGCTTTTAGAACCAGTAAGAAAAATAAAGTAAAATTGATCTTTTCTGAAGACAAGTTGTCATCTAACTTTAAAATCAGAACTGATGTTGAGGCCCTTTTCAACTTGCCTTTGAATTTAGGGAAGAATTGCCCGTGATTCAGGAAGGCCTGAGCCTGACATTTCATTCTTGTTTCATAATGCTTAAGGTCCCAGCCAAACCTGGGAATTCATTCAGATAGCAGGGCAGACAGTCGCCATAATCAAAAGCCTGCAGTCAAACGATGCAAACAAAAGCCGCATGAGAAATTGATAAAGAGATTTCTTTATTATACCATTTCATTACTGAAAAAAGAAAATCTAGAATTAATTTTAGAAAAGATAATGTATTTGTAGTCTGCTTTCATCAGCAACACAAAAACAATTGGCTTTTTATCTTCCATGAGTGAAAAAAATGACCTTTGTTGATAAAAAAAGCCAGATTAATTCAAATCATAAATAAGATGTATTTTTGACTACCAAAGAAAATTTAAGAATTCTTCCCTTGAATCTTCTAATTAATATTAGCTGTCTTTCTAAAAGATACAGGGCACCAAACACTACATAAAAAGCTGTTAAGCAGGAAATCAGATTAAGTAATTTATTTTTCCTTTCCTGTCACAATCTGTTAAAATGCATATTTACAAAACTTAAGTAATTTGTACATAATAAGCCAATATTACATTTCTGCTTTATATCCTACAAATTCTTTTCAAAGGATGAACTTGTTAAAACAGCACAATGCTTATAATTTAAAGAAAATTGTATAGTATTTGTAATGATTCTCTGAAAGCTCAGTTTGGTTGATTTCTTTGGGCTGAGTTGGATATGTCTTTATTCCACACATGGAATTTAATTTAAAGTATTATTTATGTGTGCATGCAATTTTATTACAATTAAAAGTAAAATCTAAAGAATGTTTTTTTTTCCTGCTTTACTTATGACCTTATTAAAAGTCTAGCATCAAAGTCTGACTTTATATTCACAATCAGATGTTTATTAATACCTGCCATTTTCTGGAATGCTCCCAGTTTCATGAAGTTTTTTAAAATGTGTATTTTAAAGTCCTGAGTTTTTGAAGAGCTCCTCTGTTAATCAGACAAATTAAGGGGGTATATTCTCCAGTAGTTCGCACAGAGAACAGTGTTGTTTCTGTTCTCAGCAGAGCTAAATTTGAACTCTGTGGAGGTGTCCAGCTAAGATCCTTCTTTTAATATCCTATTGAAACTTTACATAAGATATTGTTGTAAAGTGGTTAGAAATAGTATTAAAATAGGTATTTAAACCTCTTTTATTGGTATATTATTTTTACCCACATTTGCCTGTTTATTCATCCATGGCATCTTGAGCTAATTCTGAGGTTTTGTTTTACTTGTTTTCAGTCCCTGGCTTCTAATTCTGAGTCAGCGTACTACTGAATAGGTATTACTGCAGTAAGCCTAATAAAAAAAAAAAAGAAAAAAAAAAGAAAAAAAAATGATGAAGAAAACAAAAGATTTCCACTTTTCTAGAGCGAAAAAATTCCAGATGGAAGGAAAATAGAAAAAAAAATCCTTGATATGTCAAGGCAGAAGTAATGCTTACTTCAAGCCCATACAAATAGATAATTCTCATAAAAATTAACACGAGGCTTCAAGCCTCTACAGAGATTGTTCTCATAAACAAAAAGCTGTAGGCAATGTTAGTATCTATAAGTCAACCAGGTATTTTGACGTATTCAACTCTAATCTATAAATTGCCTTCAGTATACAAATAATAAAGCAAACGGAGACTCTCTTTCAAAATGCCTGATGACTAAGAACCATAATGAGGCAAATTTAGGATCCTCTGAATCTTCTAATGATGTCCAAGAGATCAAGGGTTTTTAAAGATAAACTGTTGTATCCTGGGGCATCTTGACTTATAAGATGACTCTCTGAAGAAGGTTGTTGATCTTATGACTTACTTTTAACATCTAACTTCTATTTAAAAGAATCTAAGGGTGAAATGGAAGGAGGTGACATGCTTGTTTGAACTTGCTCTGTCTTGAGACTTACTGAGCATAGCCTATACCGCTTCTCTCTGCATTCCTGAGAGGCAAGGGGAGGGGGGGGGTCTGTAGCTAAAAAAGTGGGGGAAAAAAAGAATTTCATTTACCTCCGTTACTGCTAAGAATCTTTTCAGAAAAGCATTTACTCCTGTCACAGTAGGATGCAAACTGACGTGAGGTGACCAAAGCAACTACCCGCAGCGCAGAGAGGAGCTAGCTGGAGGAGAATGGGAATGCAAAAGAGAAAGCAGTTAGCAGCCGGAAAAACTAAATTTTCAGTTACAGGAGATTACAGGGAGCAGAGATCAAATTCCAGATCCACTCCAGGGCCCGCGGTCTGCCCTCACGCAAGGTACACGCTTGTGATTTGGCTTAACGGGCACGGACCCGGAGGGAACCGGCTCGGGTGAACGGACGGGGTCTGACGGGGAAGGGCAGGGGAAGGGGAAGGCGCGCCTCCTCCTCCTCCTTCTCCTCCTCCGCCTCACTGACCCGTTCCCTCTCCGCGTCCACCACCTCTCCCGTCCCTTCTGGGTGCTCGCCCGCCCCGGCGGCCGCAGCCGAGCCCCTGCAGCTCAGCCCCTGCCCCTCCCCGGAGCCCGCCACCGGCCGCGGCTCCAGCCCCGACCCGCGCAGCGCCCCGAGCCCCAGCCCGCGGCGTCGGCTCGCCCCTGGGCGACGGCCGGGTGGGCCGGCGGGGGGCGGCGCAGCGGCGGGGGAGGCGGTGCCTGGCCGGTAGGATGGGCCGGGCCGGGGAGTTTATCCCGCTGGAAGGGAACAGTGTCCCCGGCTGAGACTTGACAGCACCAGGTCAGTGCGGGCTACCGGGGGAGGGGAGGAACCTTCCCCTGAGGTGAGGGGGGCGCGGGGACAGCCGCGGGCTGAGGGGGGAGCCGCGGGCTCCTGAGGGGCGCCGCGGCTGGGGGCGAGGAGGGGCTGAGGGGAAGCGCCTGGGGCGGGAGCGGAGCAGCCCCGGCGTGGGGACAGGGCTCGGGCTCGGCCCCGGGGCGGGGGGAACCGAGCCGCCGGGGATGCTCGGGGACCGGGCGGGCTTCGAGGGCGAGCGGGCTCCCAGGGGTGCTCCGGGCTGAGGGGAGAGGAAGGGGGTTCGGGAACGCGGGGCACGGCCCGGGGGGGGCGGGAGGGCTGCCGGGACACGGCTCCGCTGCCGGTGGGGGCCGCCTGAGGGGACGGCACGGGGCGGGCACGGGGAGCCCGGCGCCGGGGCTCCAGGTGCGCCTGGCCGGGCTCGGGGTCCGGGGGCTGGGGTTTGGGGTCTGGGGGCTGCCGCCCCCCCGGGGGGGGCTCGGGGGCCATCCGCTGCCCGCCGGGATGGAGGCACCGCGGGCGGAGCGCAGCCCGGTGCTGCGAGAGGAGAGCGGGGCGGCCGGGGAGCTGCTGGCGCTCACCTGGCCCCGTTCGCGTAATGAATGAAGAGCGTTGGTTGGCGGTTTGGGTTTTTCTTCTTTTTATTATTTATTTCTCAACCGCAGAAAGTCAGGGAGCCTTCCTGAGCCTGCAACAGCCGAGATGCTGTGTTGAAATGTGTTGTGTCTTGATGGCATGCCTCAGGTTCGCAGGAGCATTTTGTAATCTTCCTGGTGTCATTTCTCTCCAGGGTATTCTACAACTGGAGAGTGCAAGTTCCTGTGGTGTTGTAACTTCACGGCACTGTGTACACATGACCATACAATGCTGACTTAACAGTGATGTATTTATTAATAATCAGTGACGTAAGACTGGTATTTGCTCTGATGGAAAGCTCAGGAAATTATCAATTTCTCCACGTGCTGTGGGCTCTGGGTTCCTTTAAATCAGAAGGATCGATTACAGCTCTCCCCGAAATACCTGAGGCTGTGGGCTAGCCTGGTAGTTGTGACCTGCTGCCCCATCTCTGAACAAGCTTTTGCTGTGGAACATGGTTGTAGCGTTCCACTTAAAAATGAGTAGCCAAAACAAAAATATATAAATATGTACATTTCTGGTAGCAACTATTCCATAACTTAATCAGTAATTTAGCTTTTAAAACGTTACTATAGTTTGTTACTAGTTAACTAAAATTTTCCAGTGTACACCATGTATGACATATGATACTCAGTGCTGTCCATGGGAATGAACTTTCCTCTGTTGTGCTCCCATTAATATCAAAATTTATTGTGTGAAGTGGTGTTTGACATCATTATTCTTTTGGCTGTCACAAAAAATAGCTTCAAAAATTGTGTAGAGATTTAATTATAAGATTAAAAGAAATCTGTCTAAGCAGTGTGTTAAGGCATGTGGTGCAATATAAGCATGAACTTGTCAAGGGGAGAGAAAATTGAAAAAGTAATTGGCATGGAGTTTGAATGATAACCAATCATAAATGTAATTCAAAGGTTTTTTTTTTACACAGGCAGTACTTGAATTTGAATGTTCTTAGGCATCAGTTTTGTAAAATATCTCATTAACTAACTAAAGATAGTATGTGTTTCTTAGCAATGCCTCTCTGTCAGGTTCCTGGACCTTACAACTTATTACACGTCAGCACTCAATGAAACTTCCATTACAATATGGTCATTACACAAATAATTTTTTCTCCTCTGAAATGCATTTATATTTCATATAGTGAAATATCACAAAAAAATGAAGGTGGCAAGATATTAGAAATTAGCTGATGAACATTGAAGCTATGCCTCTTTTAGCTTTCCCTATGTCCGTCTCTTTTCTGTGAATTTTTGGAGACATCCATAAGTCCATTTCTAAATCAATAAAACAAATTTAGGTCCCACATCAATTACTAGCACTATAATTTAGTACTTCTAGCAGTGGCTCATAAAATGAATTTTGAAGAAAGTTATACGGAAAAAGCAGGAAAAAGTTTAAAAGTAGAAAGAAAACTGCCTTGTGAAATGATGGATTAAATAATGAAACGTATCTATCATAGGTTTTTTCCGTCTTGATTTCTGAGGCTTCCTTTTTGTTTTACATGTATGTTCTGTTCAGAGTGGCATCAAACATATTTACTAGCCAGTTTTTGTAGCCTAAATGTGAATTGTTAGTTATGCATATTTGATATTTGGAATTTGAGGATTTTTACTTTTTTTTTTTTTTTTTTTTTTTTGTCACAAGAATTATCCCGATACTATCTTCTGGCATACAGTAAAACAGTTTCCAGTGCAGTTACTCAAGAGAAATTAAAATACAATTATAAGTTCTCTACACTGGGTACTTTTGAAGTCATGGACACAACACTCTCCATTAGTTGTTGTTATTAGTTTCATTTTTAAATCACTGGTAGACTTATTTAATAACAGACTCTGTCCCAACTTAGCATCATATTAGATGAGTGCTAATTACTCTGTACTGTGTTTCCATAATGATCTATATTTTTTTAATGTTAGGGATCTATTTTTCATGTACTTTACAGCAAGTGTTCACTGTGTGTCAGTTAACTTTTTGTGGCCTGACAAAAGAAAAAGTTAGAAATAATACAAAGCAAGAGAGCATTGGTATATTCAAGTCCTGCGTACCCATGCCACAAACAGAAGCTGGGATTTCCCAGTAACAGGTCAGTTCTTAAGGATTTAATTTAACTGCTATGGATCACTTGGAAGAAATCCCCACTGCCACCTCTTTTTTTGCCTGCAGAGGCTTTCCCAAGACTGAACAAAAATGAAAGAGCCGTAAGATTTGTCTTCAGATATTCAGATTCCCATGAGCATGAAACATAAATTGAATCCTACATTAAATGATAAACTTCTTGCGTTTCTCTCACCAGTTCCACACCACCACCCTGGCCGAGTGGTGTGGGTTTTTTTGCTTTTTTTTTTTTTTTTTAATGAAATATAGTTTGTCTTTTTAAGTTGTTATTTTTCACTCCTCTCACACGACAAGGCAAATATAAAACTAAATCTTTTGCTTTTTTTTTTTTTTTTAATTCAGGAGGGGAAAAAAAAAGGCAAGGCCTAATCTGTAGTCTGCATATCTCAAAGCTTTCACAGAACTTAAGACAACTTGATCACACTCAAACTTTCTTCCCCCTTTGAACTCACCTTCCAGCATATTATTTGGTCTGTTTCTCTACTCCTGAACCACTCAGGAATTGAGTGCTTGAACTGAATTGAACTAAACAATTGCATCATTCTCCAATTAAGATTTGTGATGTATGAACTATATAGATATTTTTAATTACCTGTATTGAAGTAATGCCTAGCAGCCCGGTCAAAGTTTGGGCCATTTGGTACTCAGTCAAACAAAAAGGTTTTCCCTGTCCTTAATACCATGTGATCTATGAAACAGGAATGCAAATAGTTACATATTTGCAATGGAGACACGATATAGTAGTGAGATTGATGCAAAAATTGTAATTTACACTTTCAGTGTTTCAATTTATGCTCATAACAGTAACAGATTCTTACATTGGTAACAGATTCTAAACTGTATTTCCATTACAAATGGAAAAAACTAAGGTATATTTGTTACAACAAATGTGGTAACTTTCAGCAAAAGATTTCCAAGCAGCACCTTGTTATCTATTGCTGTTTCACTGGCCTTCACTGTAAATAGGCAAAAGAAATCCTACTTAGAAAGAAGGAAGATAGGTAACTACCTCAAAAACCAGGTTGTATGTTTCTGGAATCAACTACCAGATGATGCTTTGTGGACTTGCATAAGCCACCCCCTTCCCTCATGACTAAGCAGATCACCTTCATGCCATGCAGTCTGCACATTCAGGACAAAGTCTATGAATTCAAGTCTATGAATCCCAAAGTCTACTCTGCTGGTTGATAATTAGCAATTTAAAAAACACAAAGCTTACGTAGCTTTCTGTATGTATGTTCAGGCACAAGTGTGCTTGATGAACGCCGTGATGAATGTATATGTATTGTGCACATACTTGGAGGGCATATGTGTGCGCAGGTAACGTATTAACCCTATGTTATGGAAAGACTTCCTGCTTATCTCAGTGATGTAGAAAATCTATATATAACATGAGATAACACTATGATAAATATTGGACAATATCCAAACGGAGAAATACAGAGAACATTCCACTGTATCAAAAAAAGGTCACGTCGGTTTATTGGAAGATGCATAGAGGCTAGAAAAGAAGTCCCAGCTTCGTTTAAGTCAGTGGAGGTTCTGATGTTTCAGTAGGGTCAGGTTTGCCATCTACATACAGTGTTTGAAATGTCCTGTATGCGGCTTGCTACAACTGCTGAAGTAAGTCGGTGGTTTTAGTATACAGAACATAGAGGGCCCAACTCTATAAACGAGTTTCTGTTTTCCCAGTGAGACTAAACGGCTGAAATAAAATAACTGTGAATATATATTGCAGTAAAAACCCTAGTGTTTTTTTTTTTTATTTAATGGTTTAAGAAATGTAAGTAAAACAGGAATGATATATTTCTCTTGCTTTTGTTCTAGAATTTGTATGATCGATTTCTTAAAGTATTTTAACTGTAAGTGAAATAGTGACATTTTGGTACAGACTT